GTCTCATCCCATGTGTGCAGTCCATCAGAGCTTGGCATTTCCTCGGATAGGTATGATTACCCCCATCTGTCAGATGGAAAAACTGAGACTGAGGGGCTACACTAATGTCATGTGGCCACTTAGTGGCAAAAAACCTAACCCAGAATCCAGTCTCTGACCTCTGCTGACCAAGCCCGAGTGCCCAGCACAATGTTAGCTGCAAAAATACCCAAGATGCCATCCTCAGTCCATCCCCTCAAAACAGGCTTGGCTCCCAAAACTGGACATTGGACACTAGGGGATGGGGAGGGGTGCAGCCCAGTTTGGGGGGAGCTGCCTGGGATCCAGAGTTATGGCCCATGCTCAGAGAGTCCCAAGAAAGAGGGTGCACCTGAGCTCCTGCAGAGTCCCGCCACTGCCACCTACCCCAGGGGAGCAGCCAGGGCCAGGGGGTGAACTAGCACCATGCTCTGGCCATTAACAGCAGTCACCCAAGAGAGATCTCTCATTTCACCTTACAGATGAGGACGCCAAGATCACCAACTCCTAATCCCAGATTCCTCCTAGTCTAGGAAGAAGGACCCCAAGTGCACCGCTGCCCAGAACTCTCATACATGACTGGGCCACAAGCCCAAGCAGCTTGCCAGAATTATGAGGACAAGCAGGGTCTGGGTGAGCTCCTAGGACACCAGGCCCCAGTGGGTGCTGGCAGCTTGGCCCCGATCTGTTGATCCCTGCCCCCAATATCCGCGTGAGGGGTCTATAAGAAGACAGTGGTCAAGGTGACCCTAAAACTCTGCCTCTCACTCCCCAGGAACCCAGCTCCTCATTCTGCCCCCTCATACTTCCCACCAGTGTTTATGAAGCACCTACTCTGTGCCCTGCACCTGGGTAGGCCCTGGGAGAGTCACCTGTTCATACAAGAAGCGAGACTACCGAGGATTATGTGGGGGTCAGCTGGGCAGCCTGGTTCATCCAGCAAGTTCCTGGGACTATGGCAAGGAGGCTGGACTGGAGACCTTCTCCAGAACTGTGAGTAGTCTTTTTTATTCCGTCCTTAAGGAAAATGCCCTTCTCCTGGTGGTGCCCAGTCTTGTCTGTCCTGCCCGGCTTGGAAGCCTCCAGGGAAAGATACTCTCTGAGCCTGGATCGGTCTCCACCCCACAACCTGCTCATTTCACCTAGAGGCCCAGAGAAGGGAGACCATACCCTTAAGATCAGACAGCAACTAAGTGGCTGTGTTTTGCCTCCGGTGCACTCAACACCAGAGGTCACAGGTCTCCCCCAGACCAGGCTGCTTCTCAGTTAACCCCAGGCGGGACTGCCCTGGCCTGCCGGTACCACCAATCCCCCTCAGACATTCTCCCTTGCTGCGTGTGCTCTGCTTCAACAGTCTCCCTGTAAGAGTCTCCACCTCTCCATACCTCACCCCTACCAGGAGCCCGGGAACCCCTTGCTGGGGTGAAGCCTGTTCCTGCCCCAGCACCTCAGCGCGGGCTTTGCTGGGTGACCGCGGACCTGGCCTGCATCAGAAAACTCTCCAGCCTCCCAGCCTCCCCGGCCTTGCTCACTCCCAGCGGTGTCTGGGAGTCCTGTCCTGGGGCCACCCGCCCGCCCGCCCAGTTCTTTACAGGAATACAGCTCATCCTCACTCTGGCCACATCCTCACCCAGGACCTAGTCTTTCCCGGCCATGGAAAAGAGGAAGTGTTTACCCAGCTCCATGAGAAGACCACAGCCCTTCTGCACATGCAGGCCAGGGGTCAGCCAGGGCCGCGCCCCCCCCCCCCCAGTCAATGAATAGGAATGGTACAGAGGGGAGATCCCCCCACACCTCTGAGCCCTGCCGGCTCCAGGAGCCCCAGATGGAGGCTCAGCAGCCCGCAAGCGACCTTGGCAGAAACACAGCCCTCTTTCCCCAACTGCACTGCTTTCTAGGGGTTCTTCTAGCCTGGGGGGCCCTCTCTGGATGCGTACCCCAAACTTAATCTGATTTGCACCCCTCCCCCATCTCACTTGCTCTCCAGATGAGCTAGGAGGAGTTGGCGCTGCCCCGCTGGGACAGTCTGCCACCCACCCTCCCCTCTTCCCACCCGACTCCCCCACCCCTCCCGGACCTCTCCCCGCGGAGCGTCCTTCCATCTCCGTTTGAGTCGGCTCTCCAGTCCTCGTGCTACAGCGGGCTTCGCAGCGGGCAGGACTGGGGAGTAGAGCACCTCCCAGCCCGGGGTGCAGACCCGGCAGGGATCCCCGACCTTCCCAGCCCGAGGCAGCCGCGGCCCGACCCCGCGCGGAGCCGCGGGCGCGCCCGGACCTACCCGCTCCACATCCCGGAGCCGCGGGGCGCCCGGGCGTTCGTCCCCGCTGCCGTCTCTGCGTCCCTGCACCGCGTCCCCGCCGCCGCCGACTCCGCCCGGGCCGGCCGGCCTTCCCCGCCGCCTGTCAGTCCCGCCCGCAGCCTGTCTGTCTGTCCGGCCGCTGCTCGCGCCGGGGCCCCCAGCTCAGCCCCAACCCTACCCGTAGGGGGTCACGTGGCCGAGGGGGTGGCCCGGGGACACGTGCCCAGCCCCGCCCCGCCCCTCCGCTCGGTCAGCGCAGAGCTCCGGGCCCAGCCCCACTCGGCCGCCAGCCCCAGGACTGGCCGCTGTCCGGGCTGCGGGGAGGAGCCCGGTCCCCATCATCCCGCGGCCGGCGCAGCGCTCAGACCCCCCTGGCTGCTTGTCTCGGGTCACCGCAGCCCCAGCCCCGCGCAGCACCCACTCTGGGCCACCCCGCTCAGGAACCTACTATGGTTCCGCGGCTTTCTGCTCCCTGATTCTTATCAGATTGTCCCTCTAGGCCAGCAGACACCCTCCCACCTCCTACCTGCCCTCTGGCCATCACTCTTCGGAGCTCCCGGCTCCCTGCCTGCCTTTGTGCTACATCCTGCCTGGTGGGAATGGCAGACTCCAAAGCAGGTGTCAGGGCTTATCCTGGGCGGGACCCACCTTTGGCCCAAGTCTCCAGCCCCCACCCCTTCTGCCTGTGAACATGCCCTGCCCATCCTTGCCCTTGCCCAGCCTTCTCTCTGAAGGAATGTGCCCCCCCTCCCACCTGTCTGGTCCCACATCCTCTGCAAACCTTTCCCTGAACCCCAGACTGTTGGCCTTCATGTACCTCAATCTCTGTCTCTCTGCTACCTGTCCTGAGCTCAGACCATTGCATTAGCCTCAACTTCAACCTGGGACTGGATCCAGCGGGAGCATAACCCCCTTCTCTCCGGCGGGATCGGGGCTCCCACCCTCCATGTCTAGAGGACTGGAAGGGTTGGAAGGAGATATGTCTCTTCTGGATGCTACCAGAACTCTGGGCACTAGTTTTCCAGGCTACAAAGCCAGTGCTCCAGGCCTGAATTTGTCAGGTCTTCATCTGTGGACACATCCTGGGGTGGGCAAAAGTAGGTTTACAGTTCTGAGTCCACAAAACAGTATTATTATTTATTAATTGTGGTATTATTATCCATACAAATAACTGTAAACCTCCTTTTGTCCACCCCTGTATTTCTTTCCTTCATTCATGCATTCCTTCAATCACCCCTTCTGAGTACAAACAATGGACCATACACAAAGGAAACTGCTAGACACAGGCCCTATCCTCCCAAGACTCCAGAACAGTGGGGAGATGGGGGGATGGGGACATATTCCCAAGGGCCTCCGCTTTCAGGGCCACCACTTGCCCAGGGCACACCTGCTTTGCTCAGTGAATATCTTTGTTCAAAATAGAAGAGTGTTCTTTCCGAGGTGGGCACAGCCCACACCAAAGCACAGGACTTGGTGAGTGCCGCGCAGGCTGGCTTTCCCGCCTTGTTCACTCGTGCCCTTGGCCAGCTCCTTGCACCGTGAACCTGGGCATCCCTTCCAACTTTCCAGAATCACTCTACCCAGGCCCCCGGGCCCTTCACTCAGCAGGGCGATTGTTTCCACGACTGGTTTTCTAAGGACAGGGACCAGCTCCTTCCTGGCGCTGTTTTTCTACCCAGCCCAGCCCAGGGTCTGGCTGAAAGCAGATGTCATCATGCTTATTGACTTGAATCCTTCACCAAATCTGCTGTCTTCCTGGCCCTTGCTCTGTTCACTATTTAGGGGAAAGGGGAGAAGGAGACACGAAAGGAGCTCAGAACAGGACCCTTACTCTCCATCTCCACAAGCCCAGGAAGGAGATGAGACCTGGTCCAAGTCAGGCAACCCAGCCTGGTGGGAGATAAGGGGTGGAGGGTGGGCAGCCCAGGGCCGTGCCTCCAGAGGAGGAATCCTCGGTATGGGAAGGCTGTGGGCTGTGGAGGTGCTTGAGTGAGGTCTCAAAAGCATTGATACCCCAGTTACTGGCCAAAAGTATCCCATCATCTATGCACCCAGTTATCTTGGACTCCCAGGCCTCACTAGCTTCTCCCACAGCCCAGTAAGCTTTTCTCCTCAGCTGAGAAGGATGAGCTCAGAGAGGTAGGAACCTGCTTGATGTCACACAAGACAGCCCAGAAACCAGAGGACTCACTGGAAGTTGCAGGCAGTCAGGCGGCAAGGGATGCCTACTAGGTGCCTGGCGGGTGGGGAGGGAAAAATAGAAGTGTGTCCTCTGCCTCCCAGCCACTGCCCCCCGGCCCCAGGCTCCCTCCCTCCCAACTTTCCTGGGCATCCCCACCCCCAGTTTTGGCCACAGACCCTTGGCTGGATTTCACCAAAATCCAGGGAGAGGTGGAGCAGAACTGCCAGCCTGGACGACCCAGGCCCTGACTCTCCTCATCCTGTGTGACCCAGGATGAGTGTCTTCTCCTCTCTGAGCCTCAGGCTCTGTCTGTATAGCCACCAAGCTGGACAAGACAATCGGGGCCACCCCCTGGTGCTGACCTTGTAAGAGGCTCATACAGTTCATCCCGGTTCCAGGTCAGTGCCCTGTCCACAGCTTGGCGTCTCAACCCCTCCCCCAAACGCCCTGTGGAGTGGCAAGATTCCTCCTTCCTCCGCATGTCCCGGGTCACTGGCTCACCTGTCTGTGTCCCAGGGCTCCTCTCCCAAGTCCTCGTCAAGTGCAGGGCCCAGACCTGATGGGGCATAGCGAACAGTCCCTGAGCTCACCGCCAGGTACACGGGGCATTTCCCTCGGGCAGGGCACCTGGCGCATTCCTCCGGGGGGTTCATGTCTGCAGGCCCAGACCAAGGGTCCCTCTGCAGACGGCCAGGCGGGCAGGTGGCAGAAGCTTTCTCCCCGCCCCCAGGCTCACACTAACCTTTGCTATCTCTAAGAAGCAGCTGCCTGAGAGGGAGGAGCCTCCCAGACAGGCCTCTATCTCCCTAAACCCGTAATTATTAACTCCCGTGGCTCAGCAGACAGCAGAAAATTCTGGGGCCCTCCTTCCTGGGCTCTGGGCTGGGGAAGGTGAGCCCCAGAAGGGAAGTGGGAACCTCCTCGACATGCCAAGGCCCCGGCTTCAACAGCCGAGGCTGCCCATTCCCTCCTGGCCCAGGTGGGAAGTTCGAAAGAGCCTGTCCAGCACGGATGCGCTCACCAGCTGGAGGGTGGCCCTGGGTAAGGCCCCTGCCTCCCCAACCCCTTCAGACCTTTAGCCACAACAAAAGGGGCAATTCAGTAAAGCAGTTAAGGACACAGGCCTGGCCCAGGCCGGTTTGGCTCAGCGGTGAGAGCTTTGACCCGTGGACCGGAGAGTCTCGGGTTTGGTTCCCACTAAGGACACGTACCTCAGTGGCAGTTTGTCCCCAGCCCCGGTTGGGGTTGTGTGGGTGGCAACCACTTGATGTGTCTCTCTCACATCAATGTTTCTCTCTCTCACTTTCTCCTTCTCTCCCTCCCACTCTATCTGAAGATAAATGAAAAAAAAAAGTATCCTCGGGTGAGGATAAAAAACAAAACAAAAACACAGGCCTGGAGTTGGACAGGCTGAATTCAACCCCAGTTCCAGACTATGAACCTCTGGACATTTTAGCCTCTTCCTGCCTCAGTTTCTTCAACTATAAAATGAAACTCACCCTCTAAGGCACATCAGGCCAGCTGCTGTTGCCTAGATATGCCCCACAACCCCCATTTCCTCACATTAACCCCTCTTTCTGCAGCTTCCACTCCATCCCTCCCCACTGATAAGTTTCTCTTTTGCTCACATCCCCTCCTCCAGGAAGCCCTCCTGCCCCTGCAGACAGCAGGCTCCAGCCTCAGACACATGCTCTGCCTTGTGTCACGGCGACTGCCTCATGGTACTTTTGGACAACCTCTCAAGGACTGAGTGACCCAGGGCAGAGGCTGGCCCACACTCATCACCAAATCCTCAGTGTCCCCTTGCCTAGCACATGGCCAGCTTCCATCCAACCACAAAGGGTTGAATGTTTCACCTTGTCTCATTGGGCCCGATTTCTTTCTTTTTTTTAAATCCTCACCCGAGGACATTTTTTGTTCAGATAGAGTGGGAGGGAGAGAGAGGAAGAGAGAGAGAGAAACATCAACATGAAAGGGACACATCGAGTGGCTGCCACCCGCACAACCCAACCAGGGCCGAGGACAATCTGCAACCGAGGTACATGCCCTTAGCGGGAACCGAACCCGGGTCTCTCTGGACCACAGGCCGACGCTCTAACCGCTGAGCCAAACCGGCCAGGGCCCGATTTCTAATCTTAGTGCTGCCATTCTCTGGCTGTGTGATCTTGGGCAAGTCACTTGACCTCTTTGGGGCTGAGTTCCATCATCTGTAAAAATGAGAACAATTCTCCCCTGTGACCCTGTGAACATCTAAGAAGGTGACATTGTGAAGTGTCTGCCACAGTGGACACTGGGACGAGCCTTTCCTGTTCCCTTCACCCCTGCCTTCCCTCTTCTTTCCTGTCAGCCTCCGAGTCCCCGCTGGGGAGAGGCTGCCGGCCCGAGCCGCGGTCCCACCCTGCCCGCCCGCCGCCTGCGGATAACAGTATCCCCCACTCAGGCTCTGGGCCTTGGAGCTCTCAGCCTAATGCAAACCAGATGCCGGCCTCCCTTTCCTGGCAGTGAATTTTCCATGGCCTGCTCCCACCCCCTTCCTGTTTTCGCTCCTCACTGATCCCCCTGCTAAATTCTTCTGTGCCCCCACCTTCCTCTGCAGGGCAACCTCTGCGCCCACCTGGAAACAATTAATGGAAAACAGGATGTGTGAAGAGGGGGGGTCTCCTGTCACCCCAACATGGCAGGAGGGGAAGGGGCTCAGTCTAGCTGGTGACAAAGTATGTGACAGAGAGTCCTTCCCTGCCAAGCGCCCACCATCAGGGGGAAACTGAGTCAGGGTTGCTTTGGGAACTGTATAGAAAATGTTACCATTTTCTGGACATTTAGGCACAGCTGGGGCTGAATGGGGGCCTGGGAAGGTCTTGTCCTCAGCTGTGACTTCTTAGAAAAATCAGAGCCAGAAGCGGCCTAACCCCTTCCTGTTGCAGACGAGGAAACTGAGGCCTGGAGACGGTCGGAGGCTAGAGGCAGCCAGATCTGAAACTGCCTGCCAATAAAAGCTATTGCCCCAAGTCACCTCGGGATGCTATCTCCACGTCGTTCCCCCTCCCTGCCCCCACCAGTGAGCCTAGTCACGAGGGGAGCTGCCTGTCACTGGCTGCTCAGGCCCTCCCAGCCAGCAGGCATGAGTCTGTGGTGCAAACCTGGCCCAGCAGCTGGACACTCGAGAGGGAGGCCTTGGGCAAGCCCACAAGCACCAGTGCATGTGTTGGGGGCCTCTGGGCCCTGTGAACCCCCTCAGAGCAGCTGGGGCTGGCCCTCCGAGCGAGGACTCTGCCACGTCCAACAGCCCAAGGGCTCCCAAAAGCCTGGCTCTGGCCGCCCCTCCCTCCGCCAGCTGTGCAGAGTGTTTGGACAACTGGATGGAATGTTTTGCAAAGAGAGTCCTCCCTGGATCCCTGAGCTCAGATTTCAAGAGGGCGGGAGGAGAGGATGCTGGCTCCAGGGAGCAGGGAAGGAGCTCAAGAAGTCAAATGTGGGCCTGGAGGCTCCACTCCCAGCTTCGTCCACCCAGTCCCAGGATGGCGGGGAGCTGCAGTCAGGCCCCGGCCCTGGAGGAAGGACAGGACAGAGGGTGGAGGCAGCTGAATGCTGTCAGATAGTTGATAGGGCCAAGCTGGTGAAGTCAGGCCCGGAGGACAGTCTGGGCTCCAGGAGGGGCCCAGCCCAGGACAGCGCTCTGAGAATGTTAAGCTTCCGAAACAAAGACCATTCCATCTACCACCACCCTCATTTTACAAATAGGACAACTGGGGTCCAGAGGGGCAGGCATGCTCCCCAGGTGGGTGCAGAGCTGGACTGGATCCAGGGTTCCTGATCTTAAGTTTGCTCTCCTCACTGTCCAGGCTGTCCCCACGCTCGCTCCCAGCCCCCCCCCCCCCACGCCCAGGCCCGTGAATTGTCGTCATGCCTGTTCTTCCGCAGTAACCACTACTCAAGTGCGGTCTCTGGGTTCACAGAGGATGCACAGACACTCAGCTCCCTGCCAGCACTCACCCCTGTGGGCAAGGGGTGGACGCCCCAGAGCCAGGATTCCGGCACCATCTCCTCCTCTGGGGCTAGAGCTCCCCCAGATTCTCCAACACAGCTGCCCCGGCCTCCCAGAACCCCTCAACTAAGGCTGAGACCCAACAGTATGGAAGGGTTTGAGCCTCGATTTACTCACCTTAAAATGGGGAGGGTCACCCTTGCTATACTTGACTCATCATATTTGTGGGTGCTGATGATAAGGCACAGGGGGTGCCAGTGGGCCCCTTTGGGGAGTCAAATATTTCCCAGTGACAAAACCATTACAGCTCACGTGGAGAAAGGAGAGAGGAGATTCCTTTGGGCCCAGATGGGTGTGGGAGCCCATCAAGGTGCCTGAGGGCCTGGGCTGGATTCCTCCTGTGGAACCTGTTTGCTCTCTCCCAGCTCCCAACAGGAAAGCTCAGCCACCTAATGGGAGTTGAGAACCAGCCAAACCTTCAGGGGCAGATGTGACTAGAGAGAGAGGTAAGACGTGCCCCCCACCACGGACACCTGGGGATTCCCTTCCCAAACGGCACAATGTGGAGTGGGCTGGGACTGTGCTGGGACATTTTCTTAGATATCAGACATAGTTCACCCTTGCCAACACCCAAGGTGGTCCTTCTTTGCCTTCTGTTTTCATATGAAAGATGAGGGGACTGAGACTTGGAAGGGTTAAATAATCTGGCAACAGAGAACAATGGATGGATTTAGGGTTTTAATCCAGGCTTGTGTCACTCCAAATCTCATTTCTTACTCCTCCAGCATTTCCTCTCTTGGGAGGAAGGGTCAGGTGAGGCTCCTTTGAGAAGGAGGAGCTTGAAGAAAGAGCTGGATTCAAATGCAGAGAAATGAAAGAAAAAAGGAGGGTGGGCATCCTATGCCGAAGGATCACCAGGAACAAAGGCGTGGAGGTTGGGCAGAGCAGGGCACATACAGAGAGAAGTAAATCCTTCACTTAGGTAGAGCTCAACCTGGCTTGGGGACAGTAAAGAAAAGACTAGATGGGCAGGCTGGTGGTGAATCATGAACAGCCTTGGAGGTCAAGTTAAAGAGTTTGGACTTTATTCTAAAGGCTCCAAGGAGACTTTGAGCAGGAGAGGGATGTGACCAAAGCCCTGATTTGGGGTTTAAACGGGCAGCAGTGTGCACAGAAAGTGCAAGTGAACACTTATCAAATATCCAGACAGGAGCAGTTTTTCTAAACTTAGAAGCGTTTGAAGAGTCCTTAAAAGAAAAATCAATAGATCTGCTTCCCTTAGAATTTAAAACTTCTCTGTGTTCCTCCCTTCTCCAAGAATTCAAAAATTATCCAAAATTAAAAGGCAAAGAGTCTGGGGGAAATATTCCTAGCAAATGACAAAGTATAAGATCTTTAATATCTAAAGAATTCACAAAACCAGTAAGAAAAACACTGGGAGCTCAATAAACATGTTCATTTATTCATTCGACACATATTTAATGAACACCTGTGCCAGGTGCTGAGGAGATGATGGTGGACAAGACGGAGTATCTGTGCTCATAAAGTATACAGTTTCGGGGAGGGTTATGTAGGAGGCATTCAGACATCCCATTGCAACACCATGTGATAAGTGCAGGGATGGGAAGTACCCCAAGGAACTCCTAACCCAGACCTGGGATTTGGGAA